TATATAATGGAACACAGAGATTAACCTAGACAGGATTAAATTCAACAGAACTAGATTAACAAACGCCCTAACTTTTGGAATAGAATTGTTAGGATTAAACTCGACAGAACTAGATTAACAAACACCCTAACCTTTGGAATAGAATGGATAGGATTAAAATCAACTGGTATAAATACAGATGTAACAGGACAATAAGAACCGAACCTGGCTAGAGAACCTCGCTATGCTGATCAACTGAATGCTGACTCCGTGTCATTCCTTCTTCGCCGACTCCATCCACACCTTTGGGAACCCCTCGACCTGCTGATGCTGGACCCCAACAATACCATTCTGTAAGTTTAAAAAATACATTTCTGGAGTTGGCACCGCGGCCTCCCCCGCTCTGCGCTCTCGGCCCCTCGGCCCGGCTGTACGGAGCCCTTCCAGCACCCTCTCCTCCCTTGGGCTCATCCTCCCGCCTCCGGCCTCCGCCACTTAAGCCACAGATCTTTTCTCTCCCTGCAGAACCGGAGCAGCAGCGGCGGCAGCAGCAGGAGGTGCCCGGAGGAGGTGGTGGCCAGGGAGCCCATGGCGTACAGTCAGCAAGGTGGCAAAAAGAAAGTCTGCTACTACTACGATGGTGATATTGGAAACTATTACTATGGACAAGGCCATCCTATGAAACCTCATAGAATCCGCATGACCCATAACTTGATGCTAAATTATGGCTTATATAGAAAAATGGAAATATATAGGCCCCATAAAGCCACTGCTGAAGAAATGACAAAATACCACAGTGATGAGTACATCAAATTTCTACATTCAATAAGACCAGATAACATGTCTGAGTATAGTAAGCAGATGCAGAGATTTAATGTTGGAGAAGATTGTCCTGTGTTTGATGGACTCTGAGTTTTGTCAGCTCTCAACTGGTGGCTCAGTTGCTGGAGCTGTGAAGTTAAACCGACAACAAACTGATGTGGCTGTTAATTGGGCTGGAGGGTTACATCATGCTAAGAAATCAGAAGCCTCAGGATTTTGTTATGTTAATGATATTGTGCTTGCCATCCTTGAATTACTAAAGTATCACCAGAGAGTCTTATATATTGATATTGATATCCATCACGGTGATGGTGTTGAAGAAGCTTTTTATACAACAGATCGTGTAATGACTGTATCATTCCATAAATACGGGGAATGCTTTCCTGGAACAGGAGACTTAAGGGTATGACTGAATTCTGCCTGGATAAATATGAGAGGCTAGTAATCCTGTACCTGAACTAATATTTTCCTGAGACACTAATTTGAATCTTATATGCAGAGTTGAGTCATTTTATATGCTATAACATCTAGAATTCAGTTTAACTTACTATAAGTAAAAATTTAATGAGCCCTTACAGGACTTTCCTTTGCTCAACTATTTTCTTTGGTTGA